GGGGGGGGGGAATGGGGGAAGGTGTTTTGAAAGTTTTCTAGGTTTCACCAAAGCACAAACCTCCAGTTGTTTTAAAAGGATGCATCAGGGCTTCTATGCAAGCCTGAAAGCATGGTAGGGCAGGGGCTAATTTAATCAGCCAGGCTACGTGGCACATGTATTTTTACAAGTCTTGCAAGAATAACATCAGTAACTTGAGATATTTTGGTGTCTGACATACACTCAGCAAGTGCTAAGAAAATATGCTTACTGCACAGATTGCTGGTTTCTCAGAGTGGGAGTCAAGATGCCTAATTAAAGTCAGTGCACTTTGCTTTATCATTGACCAGGTCCCTATTTCCTCCTTTTCTCTTACCACTCCCTTTCTGAAAGCAGAGCCTTTTTAGAAGTTGCTCTTGCTCAAAGAGCTGCCTGGAAGCAGTTGTTCTGGTGAACAGATTTCAAGCAAAAGGACAAAGTTAAACATGAGGCAAAGTATAAATAAAAATCAAGACTCTCTTCCTCCTCCTCTCTACTTGTGAGTGATGATCTCACCTCTCTGGGTGGATTACAAGGGTGGCTTGATCTCTTTCAGGAAAGCACATTCTCCAACCTTGATGCTGCTGCTATTTATACTCCTCTCTTCTCACCACAAAGAAAAGCAGTTCTAATAATCTTTCCCTTCGTTTTTAAGGGGAGGTCCAGGTGGTCTCTGCCCTGCCTCCTGGCAGCAGGATGAAGCCCCTGCCCACTGGCTCTGGCTCCCTGTTGAAGCCGGTGCTCCCAACCAGGGCCTCTTCTTCTGGCTGCTCATTTTTAGACACCTGAGATGTGATTTTCCACTGGCATGAGCATCTCATGGCCACACACACAGGTGCAGGGTGACAGCCTCGAGGCGCCACAGCATTTTCTGCTCACTGCGTGCAGATGGAAATGAGTGCCTGTGCTGAAAGATAATAGGGTTCCCAAAGTTCAGAGGTGGGGCTCTAACTCCCCTCCCCCCCTTGTTCATCACATTAATAGGATACCTCAATTCGTATAGCACTTCCCACCCCTCAAGAGGCAGAAGCCATCCTCTGTCCCCACTTACTTCCATGGGCTTTCAACCCCAGGCAGAGCTGGAGGAGTCAGGGCTCAGAGCCTGGGGGCTCAGGCACAACAGGGCACATACCTCAGAGGAGCTGATCTTTGAGATCAACCCCCATTTTTTCAAATTAAGCCAAACACACTCGAGCTGTGTTCCCCTCAAGACACTGCAAGAAATGGGGACAAACATTATGAAACCAAGTTTATTAAACTTTCTACAAGTCAGACTTTATCATCCAGGTTTCCACATACATATACATATTTACAAGTTGGACATAGTGTTTTTAGCTTTTCTGGCAGAGTTTTCTACCAATATATACAAATTGTACTGTTTCTCATAGAAGGGTTAAACTGTATCACAGATACAAATGTCAAGCAATCATGAGAGGTTTAGTGCAACGGAGAGCTGTAGCGCCCTGCTCTTAATGCTCATGATTCTGTCAAGTTAGTATTGCCAACAATAATTCACATTAAATTGCTCTTTGACACCTCTTATTAGGACAAAGTACAACAAAACAAGAAAACAAAACCCCAAACAGTAAGGTATGTACAAAGTACACAGTCCATGAGGTATACATGGTATTCTCGCAACGGGTGGTGGGACTGCAGCCTGCTGGGGGTTAACCCTTAAAATTACTTCACTCAACTCTGCCGTGCTGGGGACATGGGTTACCCAGCCCCCGGCCATCTCAGCAGCTGCGCCCTTGCCAGAGGCAAAGGGACATCTCTTTGCATAAGCCACTGGACACAAATGTGAAACAAAGCGGAAATTTTAGGCAGGACTAAGCTTTACTTACCCCCAACCCAGGAAGCTAATGATTTAGATATATTCATTATCCACGCACATTGGAAAGACTATGACTAATCATGCAAAAAAAAAAAAAAAAAAAATGTAGCCGGAGGCAAACAACATACCTGAATAATCAACTAAGGGCGTATGGAGATTTTACTCTTAAGACTAACTTTTTTGGGGGGGCAGAGGGGCAAAGAGGAGAGGGGATGTGATGGTTTTAAGAGTTGAGCTTGTAGGAAAACATGACTGTGTTTACACGTACTGTACAAGATACCCCTTGTTGTGTCCCAGGGGAAGGCGCCCCAGCCGATAGTGTTACGGTTTGGTAAACGGATCTGTTTTGGCACTCGGAGCTAAAGAGACCTGCTACTTGACAAGCTCACTGAGGGCATGAAGTTATATAGGCTACACCATGGTAATGTGAGGATTAAGTCTATTTAAAATGCTTTCCTGGTCAGCGAGTGGAATTGGAGGGGATCCGACTAGGAGGTCCATTAGTTTCTGCTTCAGAAAGAGCCACAGCAGTGATTTGTCTTACGGGTGGATGTGGGAGCTTCATGCCTCTGGAAGCAAGATGGGCTGAAGGAGAAGCAGCGAGCAGGTGGCCGTGGCAGGTGGAGACCTCCTTCCCTCCTTAAAGTGCACTCACAGTCAGAAAGCTACTTTGCAAGCTGGCTGGTGTGTCACGCTGAGTCGATTCCCCTTTTTACCCATTTCTGTCAGATTTTCTCAGTTAGAGGCAGAACTCGTGCCCCCCACCTCCTGCACATCGTGGCCAGGGCTCTGCACCCCTGTAGCCACCACAGGAAAGGAGATGGAGCTGCCTTTCTGTCTCACACCTCAGCAGTCGAAAGACCCTGCAGCCAAGATGTGGCCAGTTCCACCAGTGGAGGATGTGGGAGACAGGAGAAAAGCCAGGTGGCTCTCACAAAGCTGCACGGGTCCTGCAGGGCTGGCAGGATGGACCTGCAGAAGAAGAGGATGGAGCTCTGAGCACATTCAGCGGGTAGAGATGGACAGGGTTGGCGTTTTAAAGAAGGTCACTTTTCTGACCATACTGGCACTTTTAGATGCTGTTGTGAGTTTGCAAACGTGGAAGAAGGAAACTCTACGAAGATGTCGGAGGTGAGAGCCGCCAAGGTTAGAGAGATTTTGGGGTTAGCAGAAGAAGGAACTTATATCGTCACTGTCTCCATGGTATTCTGGAACGATTTGATCCGAAGTGCCTGTCTCCTGGTCTGTATATCCAGGCTCCAAGACTGCCTCAAACCAAGGGTGAAGCAAGATCTCTGGAGCAGTGAGTCTTTCGGAGGGCTCCCGCCGCAGGAGGCTGCGGATGAGGCATCGGGCTTTGGGGGAGACGTGGTCAGGAATACAGAACTGTCCCCGCCGGATCTTGGAAAACAGAGTGCTAGGGTCCGAGTCATGGAAAGGATAGCGTCCCACTAGCAGGGTATAGAGCATCACTCCCAAACTCCACACATCAGCTGATTTTCCAGAGTAAGTCCCCGTTGTGTTTAGGATCTCAGGGCTGACATAGGCCGGGCAGCCGTGCTTGTCTGAGAGCGCATCGTCTTCGCCTTTGATGATGTGTGTGTCTTCCAGGCTCTCCAGCCGCAGCTGAGTCCTAGGGAGGGCGGGAGAGGAAGCCACAGGTTAGAAATAGCAACACCCAGACACAAGTGAGCTCAGTGGGCCCCCTGCCACAGCAATCCCTGCTTTTCTTGCTTCAGCTTAAGGAAAAGGAGAGAAAATGCTTTTCAACTTGCAGTGAAGAGGTTGCCTGGACACCGCGCAGTGGAGTGGAGGTGTGTTGCGGGTGTTGGGGGGGGGGGGGGGAAGGGGGGTGTGCTCAGAAAAGCCTGCCTATTTTATTTATGGGAGATTTTAACAAGACAGAGAACTCTGAAGGAGCAGCAGCAAGTCATCTTCTGCCTCTGCAGGTTGCTCTGTGACTGCTGGGGGTTAATCAGCTGCACTGCACCGCACATGCTGCCCTTTGTGGTTTGCAAATCCCGCAGCTGGACTCTCCTTGCTCAAAGCTTGAGCCACAAAGTCCAGCTCCCTTCCATGCTTGTGGGAATCGCTGCCTCTCCCGAGTTTTCTATTTTCTTTTTTTAATTTATTTTTAAATTTTTACTCTCTCTGCCTTTCTGCAGGGTACCACAGCACTTGGCACCTCCCCAGCTGAGACGGGTTCCCCCTGATCTCCTGTTTCGGGGGGAAGAGGAGCTTCACATCAGCGAGGAAGGCACGGGCTGGCCCTGGCAGGGCTGAGCTCTGCCTGCAGCCCGCTGGGGTGTCGCTGCAGCCTGTCCCCGGCGTGACCTCGCAAATACCCATTGGTTCTGCAAACGGAAAATATGACTCAACACGAACCGTGGGCCCGGGATTGGCTGCGGGAGCCCTGAAACTGCACCTGTGCCGGAGAGCCCCGAGTCCGCCTGCCATTGCTTAACCCTCTTCTTGCCAAATGGGATGCACATGACACTGGCCTGTGCAACGCGTTATTTCCAAATGAGCGAGGCTGTGTGCAATGTAACATTTCAACAAATGTTTCATCTTCTTATGGGCGGGAAAAGCTGCAATAGTTTCCTTCAAAGGAATTACTTTCTTTGCATGTCAACACGAAGTTGTTGCTGTTTAAGAGGGGCAGTGCTCGTTAATTTTCTTATCATGTTTTATAAACGATATCCTGAAGAAGCACGCGCACCTGGTTGGGGGGGGGGGGGAGAAGGGGGGTGTGCTCAGAAAAGCCTGCCTATTTTATTTATGGGAGATTTTAACAAGACAGAGAACTCTGAAGGAGCAGCAGCAAGTCATCTTCTGCCTCTGCAGGTTGCTCTGTGACTGCTGGGGGTTAATCAGCTGCACTGCACCGCACATGCTGCCCTTTGTGGTTTGCAAATCCCGCAGCTGGACTCTCCTTGCTCAAAGCTTGAGCCACAAAGTCCAGCTCCCTTCCATGCTTGTGGGAATCGCTGCCTCTCCCGAGTTTTCTATTTTCTTTTTTTAATTTTATTTTTAAATTTTCACTCTCTCTGCCTTTCTGCAGGGTACCACAGCACTTGGCACCTCCCCAGCTGAGACGGGTTCCCCCTGATCTCCTGTTTCGGGGGGAAGAGGAGCTTCACATCAGCGAGGAAGGCACGGGCTGGCCCTGGCAGGGCTGAGCTCTGCCTGCAGCCCGCTGGGGTGTCGCTGCAGCCTGTCCCCGGCGTGACCTCGCAAATACCCATTGGTTCTGCAAACGGAAAATATGACTCAACACGAACCGTGGGCCCGGGATTGGCTGCGGGAGCCCTGAAACTGCACCTGTGCCGGAGAGCCCCGAGTCCGCCTGCCATTGCTTAACCCTCTTCTTGCCAAATGGGATGCACATGACACTGGCCTGTGCAACGCGTTATTTCCAAATGAGCGAGGCTGTGTGCAATGTAACATTTCAACAAATGTTTCATCTTCTTATGGGCGGGAAAAGCTGCAATAGTTTCCTTCAAAGGAATTACTTTCTTTGCATGTCAACACGAAGTTGTTGCTGTTTAAGAGGGGCAGTGCTCGTTAATTTTCTTATCATGTTTTATAAACGATATCCTGAAGAAGCACCAGCCCAGTTAAGAAAACACAAGCAACAAAACACTTTTTCTTCTGCCTCAGTAGTATCAACTCCTGTTTCATCAGATTAAGCACAACTCCATTATTTCTACTTGTCTTTTTAACTTTCCACAGGAGAAGCAGCTAATAAAAGTCAGTTTTGGTGATTAAAAATTTATTTCTGGCTCTGCCACGTGTGATGAGGCACTAAAGGAGCAGCAAACACTCCAGGGAAATACTGAATTATTTCCCTAATCTAAATTTAACAACTAGATTCTAGATCTCCTTCCTCTATACCTAGACTTTAGGCTAAGTTTCACCAGGCTGCTTTTCTTCAGTGCAGCATTCCCAAAGCAATATGTAACTGTGTCCCACCTTCCCTCCTGCACATGCCCACGTCCACGGGCACAGAGGGCAAGGAGTGGTAAAGGGGGAGGGATAAAAGCCTTGAAGGGCACAGATGGTCTTTTGTTAGCAGCATAGCCCTGATCAGTAGGGGATTTCGGAAGGAGACCCCTCTCCCGAGCACGGCTCTGCCACCAGACAGCTCTCTCAAGCACAAGCAGGGTCCAGAGCTCCAGCTCCTCACATCTCCTGCTCCCCCAGCCAGGCTGCTCCCCAGCCCTGGCTCAGCCTCCCTCCGCTCCCTCTCTCTGCCTTTTATTCATTTTACACTGAATGAGCAGCACACATGACATCTTCTGGTGCTCAGGAGCATCAGAACTATTGTCCCTTTGTTTACCAGCAGGTTTCACTGAACTTCTGCTGAATGAGAGGAAACTCCCGGAGAGCTTCCTCCCTTTCATCAGTCAAGATCTAACTAAGAGTAAGTGCAGACCAGTTAGATCCATGACCTACTACATACATGTGATGGGGACCTACTCAGATTGCTCACAAGTAATGCCCGGCTGACACAGCCTTTTCCAGTCCCTGGGATGCTTTTGCCTCTCTGGATGTGGCATTCCTCCCTCCCCACTCACCCCAGGGCTGGCTGGTGACAACCACTTACCTTTCTTCATTAGAGAAGACAAATTTCCTGAGCTTGAGGTCACCAAGTACGATGGCCGACTGGTGGCAGTGAGCCACAGCAGAGACGATCTGCTTGAACAGCCAGGCAGCCTCCTCTTCCCTCAGCCTCTTGCAGCTCCTCACGTAGGAGTGCATGTCCCCAAAGTCCTTTTCAAAGAACACATAGGCCTTGGTGTCCCCGAGGATGACTTCGACAACCCCGGTGATGTTCCTGTGCGACGGCAGCTGAATGTAAGGCCGGATCTTGTCCTGGTAGTGTTTGAGGGGGAACACCTGTAAGGAGGAAATTCAACCAAAATTCATTCTCAAGGGCGCTGAAAGCAGTTGCTCGCGTAGCAACTCTCCCCAAACAATGACGAGGGAGCTGGAGGGGAGCCAGGGCTCGGCGGGAGCACCGTTCAAAGCGGTTACCGAGACCCTTCCTGTTCATTTTAGATGGAAAAGCCGAGCGAGGGGAAGAATAAAAGAAAATAAAAAATAAATAAATAAATAAAAAATTCCCACCCCTTTTTCAAGATAAAACTCTCCAAAGCCTTTTTGAGGTGATGCTCCGAGCTCCCCCGGAGTTCCAGCTGACTTCCAGCGCAGGTAAATCCCCACCGGCGCAGCGGGAGGATGTTTTTTCCAAGGCTCTCCCCGCGCCG